TTTTTTTTTTTTTTTTTTTTTGTGAGTTAGAATTTTGTTGTACATCAAAAATAGATTTTAATATGCTCTAATATGTTTTAACTAAGCCACAGTCCCAAGTACAAATTGTAGATTATTGGTTTATGTTATATACACCTTAAAGAGAATGATAAAATGGAAGAAAGGTACTCATACAGTACTTGAACCAGTAGAAAATTAAGGATGGGTAAGATTTTCCTTTTTTGTGAAAGGTATTGCTCTGTGAGGAAGGTGCTTCCTATGTCATTTTTCATCTGGTTGTTTGAAGCCAGAATTTAAATTGAGAAATGTGAGAAACTATGTTTTTAAAAAGTTACTTTTCAATACTTTTATGCTAGTCAATATACATTTAAAATTGTAGAAGTTGGCGGCTATCAGATGAATTTTTGTTTTCTGTGGGTTTTTCCCCCCTATTTCCTTGTGTTACGTCTCCATCTGTCTATTTTCTATCTATCCGTCGCCCTTCCCCGTGTGTACATTAAGCCTTTCAGGGTAAGCTCAGGATATGCAGAGCTATTGCTTAGCCTCCAGGTAGCACTCAAGGGCTGTTAAGATTCTAGATCTTTGCTGTATATTTTACTGTTTGACTTGAAAATTTCTGATTTTATATTTGTTTACCCTTCTTAGACTTTTATTTCTATTTAATTTTCTCATTCTTTTAAATTATAATGGTTCTAAGGAGTACTACAAACAAAATCAAATAGTCTATTATGTGTCAAGTATGACAAACTATCCCCAAAGAGCAAGTTAGTCAGTGCTCAATTACCAAAACTAAATGTTGAGAGCAGCTGCAGGAATGATTTAAAAGCATAAGGAACTCACTGATTCCCGAATAATAGTCTCTTAGCATGTAGCAAATTTGGAAAATATTAGGTTAAAAAGTTTCTTTATAGAGGGGTTTCTTAGATCATTCGGTATATGAAAAATACATCGTAAGTCTCCAAGATAGGAAAATAATAAGTGTATCCCAAACTGATTTAACTATGAAGCTTTTCTTAAAGAGACATTTACATTTTAGAATGGTCCTAGCAATTCAAATATTTAAACCTGCGAGCTAACTTCTTGCTTTGACACCACTCTTTTGTTATGTGGGTGCTTAATAAAGAGAATCTCAAATGACAGAGATTGATCAATGAAGGCAGATCAGTTTATGTAATATGGACATTTCTGTTTTTATCACAATCTGACTTTTTAATTGAGTCTTCTAGTTTATGTTAACCTTAAGTTGTAATGCAGTGCTTATGATTTTCCTAATGTAGGAAGTTTGTGTTTACAATTTTTATAAAGTTAATCTATCATCTATTTAATTTAAAGATAGTGTCCTTACCAGTTCAAATAAAATTAATTCAGTATCTTAATATTTATTCATCTTTATAGTATCTCTGCTTAAAAATAATTTTTTTGAAAATTTTTTGTTGTGTTAACTAGAAATTTTCTGCAAATTGAAAAATAATTATTTCTGTGATACATGTATGTCATAGAAATTTATATAGGTATCATGTCATAACAATGTATCTTTAAAACATACGTTGCCTGATATTTTACTGGAATAAGACCAAGTGTAATAAGACACATAAAATGTTTAAGAGTAAGTGTAATAAGACACATAAAATGTTTAAGAGTACATTATGATGGCTGTTTCCTGTTATGATTTGTGTTTTATTACAGTCCAGGTAAAGCAGCAATGATACACAGGTCTTTGCCCTGTCCAGCCCTCCCCTCATCCTCCACAGCATTCTCTTCCCCTCATTAGTTCAGGGTTAGGCCACTTGGACGCACTAGGTGGCAGTGTATCCTAATAATTGCGGCTTGTATATGAAATCAGCTATTTAAAAGGACATCCCAGAGTATCTAATTTCTTTGATTACATTGGTTCCCAGGACCACCCTGAAGGAGTAATTACTTTAATGGATTGGTGAGTTGTCAAATAATACTGTATTCTGTGACTAAAACTAAGTAATTACTTAAGATTAGAAAAAAACATTACCCCAATATCTTTCTTATATATTATTTTAATGTAAACAACACATCTTATACATTTTTAAGTTATCATTATCATTATAATTATTGGTTAGAATTTATTTAATCCTTATTGAGGCCTGTTAAAGCCCTTTTCATGTGTTACCACAACATGAGGGCCTTATGAATTATTGTTATTTTTATCCTCATATTACAGGTGAGAAAATTGGGGGCTCATAGAGGCTAAGTAACTTCCTCAAGATAACACAGCTAAAAAGTATCAGAATTTAATCTGGGCCTGTGACTCAGGAGATTTTATAATCCTAAATGCTGTGAAGTCAATGCTGATAAAAACCGAGGATTCTTTCTTTCAGGTGCTGTATTAGCTTTCATGTTGGGATTGTTTCATATGCCCCTGGATGAATGTGAGGAACTTTATCGAAAATTAGGATCAGATGTGTTTTCACAAAATGTCATTGTTGGGACAGTCAAAATGAGTTGGAGCCATGCGTTTTATGACAGTCAAACATGGGAAAAGATTCTTAAGTAAGTTATGACTATTCTTCAAACGAATTTTCTCATTATACAGATAATACATGCGTACTTTGAAAAGTATAAAGAATATTAAATTATTAATCCCATTAATTGAGAATACCAGGGCTCTTCTAATTGCGAATAACCACTGTTATTATTTTGGTGAATTGTATTCTGATCATTGTTTTTTTTTGGGGGGTCGCATATGTTCACGTGTGTGAGATTTGCATGTAAAAGTTCCAGCTGCCGTTTTGAAAATATGAGACCAAATTTAATATAGTTGTTGTTGTCAGGTGCCGTTGAGTTGAATCCAACTCATAGCGACCCTATGTACAACAGAACGAAACACTGCCTGGTCCTGCGCCATCCTCACGGTCATTATTATGCTTGAGCCAATTGTTGGCAGCCACTGTGTCTATCCATCTCGTTGAGGGTCTTCCTCTTTTTCGCTGACCCTCTTAACCTTACCAAGCATGATGTCCTTCTCCATTGACTGGTCCCTCCTGGTAACATGTCCAAAGTATGTGAGATGAAGTCTCACCATCCTTGCCTCTAAGGAACATTTTGGCTGTACCTCTTCCAAGATAGATTTGTTCATTGTTTTGGCAGTCCATGGTATCTTCAGTATTCTTCGCCAACACCATAATTCGGAGGCGTCAGTTCTCCTTCTGTCTTCCTTATCATTGTGCAGCTTTCGCATGCATATGAGGCAATGGAAAACACCATGGCTTGGGTCAGGCCCACCTTAGTCTTTAAAGTGACATCTTTGATTTTTAACACTTTAAAGAGGTCTTTTGCAGCAGATTTGCCCAATGCAGTGTGTCCTTTGATTTTCTGACTGCTGCTTCCATGGGTGTTGATTGTGGATCCAAGTAAAATGAAATCCCTGACAACTTCAATCTTTTCTCTATTTATTGTGATGTTGCTTATTGGTCCAGTTGTGACAATTTTTGTTTTATGTTGAGGTGTAATCCAGACCTATTTTTATTCTGTTGTTTTTACTAATATATTAGCCTTTTTTTTCAAGCTATTAACAGATGTCTTCTAAAATATCTAATAATTTTTAAACATTTATTTCCAAAATACTGCATAGCCATTATACTCATTTTTCATAATATAAGCATAAAGTAGAAACTTAACATCACTCACAATTCTATTAGAGCTGTATACCTTTCAGTATATTTCTTTTTAGTTTTTTTTCTAGACTTATATACATGTTATATAGGTGAAATTATAACTGCAGTTTTGTATCATTTTATCCTTCAATGTTATATATTTTCCAACTTCATTAAAATTTCTTGGCATATTTCTAAAGATTGTGCTATATTCCGCTGTGTGATAGTACCAGATTTTCTTAACTGTTTCCACTTAGGACATTTATGTTGTCCCTAAGTTTTTGTGATTATGAACAATGCTGAAATAGGAAATCTTACATTTAAATTTCTACCAACATTTCAGAATATATCAGTGGGTCAGTTTATAAGAAGCATGATTATTAGGTCAAATGTTGATGTCTTTTTAAAATAATCATTATATGGGAAATAGAGAATACATAATGAAAACAACAAAAATCACTTTTATTTCCACTAAGCACAAAATAACTATTCACATGATGATGTATTTCTTTGTAGAATTTGCTACAGGTATATAAGTGTTTGTGTTTGTATTTGTGTGTATTCATCCCCTTCACAAAATTGTCATGATAATGTACATGTAGTTTTGTATCTTGCATTTTCATTTAGCATTTTATTATGACTGGTTTCTGTATAACTAAGTATTTTGTTGAAACACGGTTTTAATTATTGTATAGTATTCTATTTTGTAGATGTACTATTTTGTATATAACAGATTCCTTATTGGAAAAGTGAGCTACTTCAGATGTTTTTGCAGTTCAAAATAAAGTGTAGATGGACCTCTTAATTCTCTATTTAAATCTCTGACTATATCTTTAAGGTAAATTTGAAGAAGTAAAATTTTTGGGTCAGAGGTTGTAAATATTTTAAGAATCTTGATATACATAGCTGAATTGTACTTCAAAACAGTTGCCCTAACTTACCCACCAGCATCAATTTATTCTTCCATTCCATGAAATATTCATAGAATCAAACATTTTAATTTTTAGAACTATGTTTTTGAGAGATTTTTAAACTGGTGTTTCATTTTGAACACTTCTTGAGCATTTTCAAATGTTTTTTGATTATTTTTATTTCTCTCTTTGTGAATATCAAGGGCATAATCGTTGCATATTTTTCTACTGTGGTGTTCCGCACTGTGCTGTAAATATATTAACCATTTAATATATTTTGAACATATGCGTTTTAATTATGTGGGTTTTTTTTAGTATAGACAAGTTTAAAATCTTCATTTAGTCAGATCTTTTCCTTTAATGATTTTTAACTTTGGTTTCATGTTTAAAAAGTCTTTTCCACCCTGAAATCAGGTAATTATTTATCTATTCTAGTTCTGAGATTTTTATTAAGTTTATATTTAATTCTTAAGTCATCTGTAATTTATTTTGATATATATTGTTAGAGTGTAAAGCTTTTTTTTTTCAAATATTTAATTCAAATGTCACAGTATTGTTTACAAAGTACTTTTTCCTTTTTTTCACTGATTTGAAACACCATATTTATCATATTTTAAATTCTTAACTACATTAGGGTCTTTTTCCAAGTTTTTGTTTTTGTTTATTGATTTATTTTTGTACAAATTCTGTAAGTTTAATTATTAAACCTTTGCATAATATGTTTTTATAATGATGTAGCAGGTCTTATTTTTCAGAATTCTGATAGCTGTCTTCATTTAATCTCCAATTTGAATCTTAAGCTGCTTTTGTTATGTAGAAAAATCCTACTGATATTTTGATCAAAATTACATAAAATGTATCAGTTATTTTGTGGGATATTGACATCTTTACAATTGTGTAATATTCTCATTCATTAACACTGTATGTTGTTTATTTTCTGAACTTCTTTTGTGCTTATTAGAAAAAATTATATCAATTTTCATGATATAATAAAATCATAATACTATTTATTATGGTTGCTTAATGAAGGTTTGAAAATTTACTCTAAAACAGGCTTCTGCTCTGAAATTTTTTTTCTTTTGTTACTCGTTAGATTACCGTCATGTATTTGCATATTGCTGTTTCAGTTTTGCTCTTGGAGATTATATTTTTAATCACAGCAGTGTTAAACTTACAAATGTGATTAGTTGTTTTCACTTTCCCTACTTTTCACTCAGCCTTTGCTGCTAAACAAACCACTCCAAAACTTAGTAGCTTAAAACGACGATGATTTGGTATTATGATTCTGTGGATTGATCGAGTGTTTTTTCTGTAATTCCTACCTGATCTCACTGAAGAGGCTGTTCTCAGGTGGCAGCTCAGCTGGGACGGCTGGGACAGCTGGGTCTCTATGTACATAATCACTTTTGGGCTTTGCCCCAGTGCATTAGCGCTTGTTAAGCCTCAGTTTATGGCACGTTTGCTGCTGTCCTGTTGGCCAAAGCTACTCACATGACCAAACCCTGGTTCTCTGCGGCAGGGGACTTTATACAAGGACATGGGTACCAGGAAGCATTATTCATTGGGACCATTATTATAATCTACCATACCTACACTTCGGCCTTTTTTGTCATAGGATTTTTTTTTCCCTTCATTGATAATTGACAGTGCTTTTGTGTGTGTGTGTGTGTGTGTGTGTGTGTGTGTTTGTGTTTCCCCTGTGATAATGACCTTGTGTAATTTTACCAAAAAAAACCCCAAACCTGTTGCCATCAAGTCGATTCCAACTCATAGCAGCCCTGTAGGACAGGGTAGAACTGCCCCATAGGGTTTCCAAGGAGTGGCTAGTGGGTTTGAAGCACTGACCTTTTGGTTAGCAGCCAAGCGCTTAACCACTGTGCCACCAGGGCTCTGTGTTATTTTAGGGATGTTATTTTTAATTATAGCATCAGTAGAATTCAGGGATGTTGAGGATGTTTTTTCATACTTTGACATCTTCCTGAAATAAGTAATTACTGTTCCTAACTTTCTCTTTGAATTTATTTCATAAACTAATTCACTAAAGCATTTTAGCTCTTTTGATAAAATCCAGGTTTAAACACAAAATGAATGAACTTTGCTTAAAATGTGAAAGCAACATGCTCCCAGGATCTCTGTCCCAATTTTACAGTAAGAGTCCTATGAAAAGGTAACGTGAAAGACCTTCAGAAGATTGAAATTGCATTGATCTTCATGCAGAACAAATTTATAGACCAGGTTTGGGAAAGACAGGGATTTTGTCCATTTCGGAAGACATTTTGACTTGATTAACCAATTTGTAAATACTACCTTTATGTGAAATTCACTAACCTTCTAGTTGAGAAACCTAAGCATTGTTTGAAAAATGTGATTAGAAAAATGTTTTTTCCTCATTGAGGCAGTTTGGTAAAAACAATGGCCTTTATGTTCAATCCAGGGAAAAAATACATAATTTTTAAGTCTGGAAAAGTCTGTGTTGAAACACGATTTCCTTGTAATGGAACTGTGAAAATTACTGCCCAAGGACAATTTCTGTAATGTTGCAGTAATCCAAATTCCAACTCAGATGATTTAAAAAGCAGTTATTTGGTGACATTGGCTCTGTGTTATTTGTTAAACAGTTTAAATGTCCTGACCTGCTTGTTAGGTTATTTTGTAACTAGTCCTCCCATACTTACGCAGTCTCAACTCTATCAGCAGGACCCTGAAAACAACAGATTTATTCTTCCTCTTTGCCTTTAACCCTGTATGTGTCCTGGTTTTGCATGTGTTGCCTTGCTGTCCTTCAGTGTTCTTTTCAAGCTACAACTTCATGCATCTTTCCCAGTTACTGCAGCCTGCATAGCCTACTCCACCTCAGCGCTATAGATACTTGAGTTTGAATCAGAGATTAATAAATAGCTAAGAATTGTTTCATGTGCATTAACTGGATTATATGTCTCGTAGAGGAAATTCTTACACTTCTTTTTCATCCCTCATAGCACCTTGACAAAGCCTTGGGCAAACAGTAATTGCATAGTATATGTTCCCTGATTATTAGGATGTAAAATCATTTTGATTTAATTATTTCTTCTTCTTTAATAAAGGGATAGAATGGGATCCTCACTAATGATTGAAACAGCAAGAAATCCCACATGTCCTAAGGTAAGTTTAGAGTCTTTTAAATATAATGCCTAGTTAGTACTGAAGGTCAGGTGAAAGCACTTATTCTGAAGGCCTTTTTATTAAGGGAAGAAATTCTTAGGAACCTCTTCTAATAGATTATATAAATTTTTTATATAGAGGTCATCCTATGAAGACATAGGATGTGATCATTATACCCTTTTTTATATCCTATAAAAGTATAGCAACAGCTTAGGAGCATTAAAGACTGGGACTGAAGATAAGGAAGAATTCTTTTATCATAAGAGTTAATAAAATCTAATGATTTAAGGAAAATTGTGACATGACCTTCTCTAGATTTTTAAAAGAGAAACTGTATGTGCCTCTTTGATACATATTATATTAATGTACAAATTGAATCACACTTATAAAAATTTTAATAATTCTGTGAATTGCTTGGAAAAGTCATGGGTTAGTAGAAGAATCCTGAGCTAGAATTGTGAATGTCGAACTTCTGTTCCTATGCCTTCCTCTTAACAGTGTAACTTCAGTTGCATTTTCTTTAGTGCAACAAAGAGTTTGAGCCCAAAGGAGATCTGAGACTCCTCAGAAGGGTGGAAAGATGAAGTAGCAAACAGATGTGTCTTCAGGCTCTCCACCTTGCTCCAACCAGAGCAACTTAATTTTTAAGATTTTTTTAAAATATAGAATTTGGTATCTGTTAAAAAAAAATATGTACATACGCACAAACACACACATATATATGTAAGTGGAACAGCCCCTTGTGTATTTCTGAATCCAGCCTTATCTATATACCAATTAATGTAAATTGTGGGTGTGTGTATATACATATATATGTATGTATGTATATATATGTATATTTTAAACCACTAGAGCAGATAGATACTCACCAAGAGCACTTTTAGATCTAGTTTTCTGGGGATGTTGCTGTCAGTTATTAACCATAAAAATCTTTAAGAAATTCTAACTACATAAATCTTTGATAGGTGGTATAATATTGATACCCATTTTTATTTTAAAACTATTGTTCCAAGCCAACACACATACATTTACATTTTGGTTCCCTATTGTTTGGCTTAGTGTTGCATACTTAAATTTCAGGAGATACTGTGTAACATAGAATTATGTAACAGAACTTATATTTAAATTTAATGTTCATACACAACATGCAGATTTCAAACAAGTAATTATGGCTCAGTTGTATGTATATTTATTTTAAAATAATATGATCACCTGTAACTTTTTTTGAAATACTTTTGGAATACTGAGATGGAAGTAAAGTAAAAAACTCACAATGTTCATTCATTCAGTAAGTATTTATTGAGTGCCTACTCTGTGTTAAGCATTATTTTAGGCAGTAGGGCTTCCGCGATGAATAGGCAAACAAGATCTCTGCTCTTAAGGAGCTACATTTTGGTGGGAGGGAGTCAGGCAACGAGCAGAAAAAGAAGCAATAATGAAAATTATTCCTTCAAATTTTTTTTTAGTTGATGTTTGCAGACATTTTTCAGTTGACTACCTTCCAACTTGATGTTCAAGGCCAATTTGACTTTTTTTTTTTTTAACATTACTTATTTTTTTCGTGCTTACAAGTGTATGGGATTTTTTCTTTGTCTTCAAAGTTAAAAAAAAAAATGTCACTAGGATATGTCTTGGTGTAGTTCCTCTTATTAATTTTGTTTGAAACCTAATGATCTGAGTGATGCTTAGTTCCATTTCCTTTAATAGTATTTGTTGTTTATAGGTCGTTATATCTTTACTCTCAGTACTTTTGTGTCTGTTTTCTTTATAATTTTCCATGTATATCTCATTTTCCTCTTTATTTTGGAAGAATTTAAGATTAAGATTTTCATCTGTACCAGTGATCCATTTTTCTTTGTAACAGGTTTTCTGTTTACCATTTCCAGGGCAGATATTGTTTTGGCTTCTGCTTTTCTGGTTTCCTCTCAGTCTTTTAATTCTGTTTTCTTCTCATCTTGGCCTGTTCTTCCCCTTTAAAGGCCTCTTGTTTCATAGTCTTGTCATCATGTATTATTTTACTAAGCTCATGAAGCAGGAGTTTTCTGAGAATATTTGCTTGGTGTAGAAAAAGTTACCACGACATTCTTCTCCTCCTCAAGCACCCTGGCAGGGTGTAGGGGAAGCTGATATAAATTATTAGGCTTCTGGTCTAGATGGGAGCACAGACCCTGCCTGTGTTGCATATCTATACAAATCCACCCTTGCTGGGAGCCCATAAAATATTTTTCATGGGGTTGAAGCCTCTTCTCAGTGGCCCTTTTCTCAGATGCTGCAGAATTTTTTCATAGGCTGTACACTTTTTAAAATTCTTCCTTGAATAAGAAGAGTTATCTAGGCCTAGCATCCAAAATCAGTTTGTGGATGGTTCTTAGCCTTCCTCATCATACAGAAGAATCCCCATTTTTAGAACTGAACTGGAAAATTTAAACAGTCTTTAGCCTACTTTCAAATGTTTATTGGGCAATTATGTAGGGCCACTCAGCTGAACCAAACCAAAAAAAAAAACCAAACCCATTGCCGTGGAGCCGATTCCAACTCATAGCGACCCTATAGAACAGAGTAGAACTGCCCCATAGGGGTTCCAAGGAGCAACTGGTGGATTCAAACTTCAGACCTTTTGGTTAGCAGCCGTAGCTCTTAACCACTGCAGTAGAATTTATTCCTGTCCTCCTGACTGGTCCTTTGATTAAGGAATAGGATTTATGTCCCTAGGAATCCCATACAGCTTGTGTTTATTCTCTTATGACAAGGTGTAACCATGAAAACCCAAACAAAGACAGCTTCCCCTGATGCTCTTACATGCCTGCATGTTCATTTTTTCATTCATTCAGTTCTCTGAAAGCATATGCTTAAACAGACATGAAAGAAGGCTACCCTAAGAAAGTGAGATTTGAGATCTCAAAAGCTAATGAGTTCCTAGCAAAGGGAACACTGTGTCCAGGAGGAATCGTGGGTAATTCTAGGAGCCGAAGGAAGCCCACCAAGACTAGAACCTAAGGATCCAAGGGCAGCATGTGAGATGAGACTGAAGAGGTAGGCAGATCAGACCATGCAGGGCCTTATAGGCCATGATGAGATGCAAGTAGCTCTTTTGGAGAGAATGCTAGGAGGCATAATACACCTGTTGCTTGTTCCTCTGTATCTCCAGGACTTCTTGTTTGTTTGTTTTTAATAAATTGAGGGAGTGGCCAGCTATGAATAACAGTAGAGTGGGTGTTGGGAACTTTAGCCACCTCAAAAAGTAATTTACTCATGGTAAGTGTAACAGCCCCGTGTATATTTCTTAATCCAGCCTTATCTATACACCAATTAATAGAAAGACCCTCTGGATTTTAGTGTATGGCCTCTGGATTTTAGTGTATGGCCACCTCTTAGCCATAATGGCCTGGAGACACACTCGGATCACTCACAGGAATTTGATGTATGACCTTTGGTTTATAAAACAGCAAAGCGAAGAGGCCCCTGGCTAGACTTGGCCTAGAACACTACCAGCTTTGACCACATCAAATACTCTTATAGTACATTTCTCAGTATTGTCTTAGTCTTTGTATCTATTTTCTCATATAGAAACACCCATTGAAAAAGGTCTGGTTTCCTTTGCTCGACATTATATTCACGTTATACTTCTATACGGTTGGGTAGAGTTGTAGTTTGTTCATTCTCACTGTTAAATAGTATTTAATTTTTATAGATCCCAAATATTACTGCTTATAATGAATGAGTACTGTTCCTTTTCTAATTCACTAGGTTGCTGCCGTAAGTACCGTAGTAAACAAAGGGGTAACGCCGAAAGCATTTGTGTTCAGAAACTATGGTCATTTTCCTGGAATCAACTCTCACTATTTGGGAGGCTGTCAGTATAAACTGTGGCAGGCCATTAGAGCTTCATCTGCTGCTCCAGGCTACTTTGCAGAGTATGCGCTGGGAAACGATCTTCATCATGTAAGTTGTCTGTATGGCTTTTTATCTTTTTAAATTTTACATGATTGAAGAGTCAACACTTATTAAATGTCACTGAACTTCAAAGGGATCAATCAGGGTGACCTGAGACTGACTTCTTCATGTCTTCAAATGGCAAAAGATGTGCAGTACAAGATATTTTTGTTTGTTTTTCTTAATAAGCCTTCTGGACTGAGAGTATATTTTAGGAAAATATTTTTGTTTTTCTTGTATTTTATATTTTGTGATTCATAGCCAATTAGGATAACTTTATTGGTAGAAAAATGTAGTATGTGTGATTGGCTTTCCAAATGTGACAAAAATTTTAAAATGAAACATAGTTCCTGACAACACAGAACCCAACCTGTTTAATACTTTTGGTGGGCATATTTTGAAGAAAAAGGTATAATAAGATAATAATAATAACAATAAACACTTGTTAAATTAGCTATGTACCAGATGCTTACTTAGTCCTTTACATATAATCACTATTTATTGAGTTGGAGCCTTGGTAGCCCAGTGCTTAAGAGCTATGGCTGCTAACCAAAAGGTTGGCAATTTGAATCCATCAGTCACTCCTTGGAAACTCTATGGGGCAGTTCTACTCTGTCCTATAGGGTTGCTATGAGTTGGAATCAACTCAACGGCAACAGGTTTGATTTTTTGTTTTTCTTTTATTTATTGAGGTAGATAGAGTTATTTCCATTTTAAAAATGAGAAATTGGAGTCTTAGGAAAGGTTAAGTAACTAGACTAGGGTTATAGCTATTAAACGATAGGTTGCTACCTATAACTACACTGCTTTGTAATTTATGGATAAATGACCTATAAAATTGAATATTATTTCTGATAAGTCTTTTTTTTTCCCTAGTGTGCAAACTCATTTGCTTATCTTTTTTTTCTCAGTCATATTTTTCCCACTATTTATAGAAATTTTATCTGGTAACTTATACTAGATGATAAAAATAAAGTTAGCAAGGCTTTTGAGCTGATACTTCCAAAATGTATATTTTTATATAAGTTTTTATGTGCTATCCCACTTAAAACCAAACTCATTTGATG